CTGGGTTATATAGTGTCAGAGTAGTGTGATACAAATTTCACTTCTTAATGAGGGACTTCACTGTAATCAGAGGGATGAGTGACCGTATAATATGTGCCTCTCTACTGCTTTATCCTTCATTTGTTTCAGAAACTCTCTGCTCATCATGGTCAAATTTGTCATATCACTGTGTGAGTCATGGCTTAAAATTCAATGTCTATCAGAGGAAACTTACAAAGACAGAAGCAGTTGCTCTGATGTCAGTTTGAACCACTTTTTGGTACACATAGAGAGACGATTACCCTTATCTTGGACCCTTTCAAATTATTCTTTTGCACTTAAAATTTATTTAGGGTTGCTGCAGTAAAGTTGTGGAATATTGATGCGATGGAGAATCTAGTTTTCTTTATGTAAATTCTATCAGCAATGTTTAGCTTTATCACTTTAAAGTCGGGGTGTTTAAGCAGAACTTCTCGTTTGAAAGTGTCATGATTGCAAGCTCAAGCAGCTACAGAATGTGAAATCTTTGTATTTTTAATCATCACCAGCATGATGATCATCATCACTGTGAGTATACAGTATACAGTACTGTATACATAGGCATACCATTGCTTAAACTATAAGAATTACAGTTAATAAAGAACAAAATCTAAATGCAAAATAAATTAATCCCAAGAGAAGCCTGTGAGAATGAATGATCTTTCTAAAGGTTCCTCACCAGGAGTTAAGAGTCAGTAAAGGGTGTGCAGGTTCTGTTTCTCTTGTAAGCTCCTGCATTTGATGTCAGATGGAATCATTCCACTAATGAGACCATGCTGATCGTGGTGCTGTGCCTTTCTCACAGGGCTTGCCAGGAAAAGCACGAGTTGTTGGAGAGCTGCAACATTTGCTGGTCACCACCCAGTGAAATTGGGGTCAGTGTGCTCTGGGGATATGCGATTTGGAGAGAACCAAGGAAATGTATCTTAAGAAAGAGCACCACAATGCTCTTTGGAGCATGCTGTGGCCACTGTGTCATTCTCCACATCTCCGCCAGTTTTCTTGTTTTTTAGACTGATTTCAACTCTGTGTACTGAAGAAGGATCGGTCCCATATCACACCATCTGCAGGATGTTTGGAACTTAAAATATCTGTTATCCTGGGTCTCTCATTTGGAATAAGCACCACACGTTCCATCATGCTTGTGTTTTTTAGATTGTTTTTCAGATTAATTTGCTGCTAAAATGTTTTAAAGGTATACTTCTTATTTCTGTTTTTTTTGGGGGGGGCCACATGGGACACCTGTCCATCAAGGAGCAGAGACACAGACTCACACACTCAAACACGAGGGCCAATTTTCGGAAGCCAGTTATCTTACCAGGATGTCTTTTGGGGAGAAAAGTAATGTGAACATGGGGAGAACATACAAACTTCATGCAGAGAGCATCCCACAAATTGAACCCGGGCCCCCAGTGCTGCATTGTAGTAATACTAACCACTGGGCCACAGTACCGCCCTGGAGTAGTTGTATGTTTTAAAATTCCACATCAGACATTCCATTAATGAACTTCTCAGAATTATTTTGTACTTCTGAACAATGCATATTCTGTATGCATTTAAAAGTATGAAATTATCATTTATCTTGCAGTGCACCGTTGTTCATTAAATTTCCAAAAAATATCTTATCTAATCACTTACCTGACAGAGAACATCGCCATAATTGTGTTAAATGTGAGAAACACCTTCTAAAAGACAAAGTAAAATACAAAACCCTACAACATATAAAATAAAATCTCTTGGCAGTGTTTATGAATGCCATGATCATCACAGAAACATTAGTCTTCATCTTATGCTTTTTATTTAGATGTTACAATACAGCCGCTTCAAAGCAGACATTGAAAAACAAAGAACAGTGTTCTGTATTCAGGTTTCAAATTAAATTTAACTTTTTTCATTCTATTGAAATATAAAATTGATAGCATAGATTTGGTAAAAGATTTAAATAATTACTGTGCATACCTGTGCAAATTAGTTACTTATAATCATTGAAAAAGTTATACTATAAGTCTGATATCTGTTAATTATCCATTGACTTATATTAGTGTCTCTTACTCCTAGGATATTGGTACTGTATTAACAATGGATTATACATTTAAAGGTGTTTACACTTCTTTTCAACAGTAGGGACACAGAAGGCACTTAAAAGTGTAACAAAATACTGGTTTCAAATTAATCAGAGGTATAAAAACTGAAGCTTGAAGCAAGCGTAGTAAATTAGCTAGAACTAAACACCCTTGGAACATTGAACTTGATTTCTTGCTATATTGTTTTAGTACCAAAATAAATAATACTTTCTATTAATTTCTTATTTCAATGTTCAGATAAAAGTAAATTGATCTCAATTAAATCTTAAAACTCTTCATGTTCAAAGGTTTGTGTTTAGTGTGGATTCATTGGTGTGTGTGTGCATTGTATTTGGTGGCAGTATTTCTGAATAAATTGCAATATTTAAAGAAACAATAAAACGATGAAAAAAGCAATATGAATGTTTGCAAGACATTTAAGTTTATTGTGAATTTCTTAAACACGATTCACTTTTTCACAAGCATTCATTTTCTGGCAGACACAATATTAATAAAAATAAATAATAATGAAAAATGCAAACTCCTTCTCCCAACAGTAATATATATATATAAATAAATTATAATAATAAAAGGTTCTTCATTTAAATTAACACATACATCTGAAACACATCTGAAAACCAGATTATCCATACAGTTGTTCATAAATAAAAACTTTAATTTTTATTTTAATTTATGCTTAAAGATCTGAGAAGTTTTTCACTGTCTGTTCCTAATTCTGATGATGACTGTTCTGACATGTTTGACACAAAGCTGATGTATTTCACTAATTTAATGCCACTAGATACAGCACTTGAGATATTGTTTTACAGTGTTTGTCACAAAAAAATGACTAAAATAGATTCCTTCATAAATATTGTTTTTTCTTGGTCTTGTAAAGTGTCCTGTGCATAAATGGGTTTTATCCTCTCCACTTCAGAGTTTTTGGCTGAAATAAACAAAGAAATATGTTTATTTTACATTATTTGTACATAATCCAGATACAATCTTTCATCTGAACAGTATTCAGCCATAAAATGAAATATTAGATTACAATCAGATTAGATTCTAATTCAGAAAAATGGTAAATGCAGAATTTTTTAAAAAACATCACTTACAGTACATTCATTTGGTACATTTTAGGCCATAGTCAAACATAACTACAGTATAAATAGAAAAGCAGTACTTACTTTTCCATGATGGCCTTGATGAGGATCTTGACCCAGGGGGCAGTGGGCTCCAAGCAGATTTTCTTGCCTGTCTTCATGGTAGCGCTGTGAATGTACAGAGCAGACACAGTTAAAAACCTGATCCATAACATCTCTGGATAGCATCTTCATAAGCCATGAAACAAAAGGTAATTCATGATGAGTAAATATAGAGTAATGAACCCCCTCTCCCTTGAACGCTAGAAATGACAGAATAAGCCTGCGTTTCTTGTTAAGATATTTTGAAACAGACAAGACCGTATTAGGTCCCGCATAAAATCTGTAAACTAAAATCATGGCTGCTGTTTGCCTGTAGTCAGGTTTCCGACTTTTCATACTTATATTATAATTACTGTGGTTGCACACTAATCTTTCTTCCCATAATGGAGATGCGCTTACATGACTTCGGTATTTGCGCAGTGCGGTCCGCTGGGAATGAGCTCCACATTCTGGATCAGTTTGGGGTGGATGAACCGGCTTTCCTTATTGATGCACTGACAACGCAGCTCCGTCCCGAGACTTTTCAAACTCATCCCTGTGAATATATATTACAATTAACGATCATAAAAAAACAGCGGGAGAATTAAAAAAAACCATTAGAACAGATATTTTGAGAAAACGCCAAAAAGAAACCAAGGTGTGTTTAATTAACATAGTTGAGTTCTACTTATAAATCGTATATTCATATGACGCTATCAGAAAGCTATCTTACCTTCTGAGAGAGCAGCATAAGTCAGGCAGACAAAAAGCACGATGACTGTCATTTTGCAGTTCATGGTTTTCTCTGGCTGTGAGATTTCTCTGATGCGATTTAAAACCCCTGGATTGTGGTTCTTTCCAGTTTGAATCTGCCGCTGCTCTGAGCATGCAGGGCTTTTAAAATCAGGTCCTGGAAGTGACTCATCTGGGGATGTACACAGGAAATTCCGCTTGTCTGTTCATCACGCACATTTTTATGGAAGCCTGTTTCCGCCAGGGAGTAAAAAAAAACGCGCTATGGTATCTCGCAATTGCGACTTAGTATCTCAGAATTGCGACTTAAAAACTCAGAATTGCGACTTCATCTCTCAGAATTGCGACTTAAAAACTTAAAAGTCAATTGTATGTCCTTTTTTAAAAAAGAAGACCTTAAAAAAAGAAGGTCTTCTTTAGCTCAGCTGGCAAGACCTGGGTTCGAGCCCATGCAGTGAGGCACGAACTAGGGTGGGACCGGCGCGGGCACAAGCCCTAGAACCCGAATCCGTTACGAGAACAAAAGGACAGACTATGAAATGTGGGCTATTTCGAAGTCGCAATTACGAGATATAAAGTCGTAATTCTCAGTTTTTAAGTCGCAATTCTGAGTTTTCAAGTTTGTGTGATGGTTTCTGTCTAATTTAAGTGCTGTAGATTTAGTATGTTTACATCTTGTCTAAAAATGTGTTTTAACACATTTATACAGTAACTACATTCCTCTTTTCTTTATTGGCATGTAGTTTACTATAATACCACCTGGGAGGTGACTTAGTGAGAGCAATTGCTTTTAACATGATCATGCAATCAGACTTGCTGTGGATTTTGTTTTTTTGCCATAGATTAGAAAGAAGAACAACATATTTTGGAATTAATAAGTTACTCCCATCACTCCCAGTGAAAAGTTATAGGCTGGAGATAGCTGGAGACAGACATGTCATGTTACATTTTTCTTTCAAGTTGAATCACGAAGCTCTAGATATAAAGATAACCCTCTCTGTACCTGTGTTTCTGCTTTCAGATTTCAAGTAGACCTACACGTTTAACTGCAAGTATACATATAGTACTGTATACTGTATGGCATAAATACAAAGCAAAAATAACTAAAATATTCTGTCAGAAGGGGATGCATATTTGTCAAACTTATTATTATTCTTATTGTGCATTTGTTTTATGTGTTTGTTTCATTTGTTTTCTTACAAACAAATCATCCACCAAATCTTTATTATTAGGTGTATTAGCACAAGTGGCCTCTTTCCTTTTCTTTCTAAAGAAAGCCTCTGGTATTTTTATCACATTGGAA